GGGGTGCATTGTCTTGACTTCCACAGCTATCAGGCAAAAACGCCACCCAGGAGAAAGGGTTCAAAACAGCCCCCATGCTGGGATCTAGGGACCTCTGACAGGAGACAGGGTGGGGGACAAGCAGGTGACGTGGGCCACTTATACCCCACTCTGCAGCCCCAGCTGCCCTTTCTGATTGCCTCTGAGTCTTATAAACTTTCTGAGGAATGGACCAGACATTTTTAAGGCTGTTTTTGCCAGGAAATGAGGAGCCTGTGAACAGAAGTCTCTGTATTTTAAATCACTGGTAACTTTTAGCATACATACTATATATTAAGTGTGAATTTGAATGTAAAATGTAATGGGGCAGCTTTTCATCATCTGAATGAACTATTCAAGCCATGATTGCAATGAAGAAGGAAAAAAAAAGGGATCAAGTACACCTAACAAATCTACATCAGGAGGGAATCATAAAAAGATACAACCAAGATAAAACCTTATGTGAGGAAGTTAACTGCGAAGAGCAAATCCTCGTAACTTTAGGAAGAAGTACCTGTACGCAGCAGTCCCGTCTGCCACGTGACGTTTAAAGAGAAGCTGATGGCCTGAATGAGGTTGCCCAAATTGCCTCGTGATGGGAAGCTGCCACCCCTGCCTTGTACGTGGGAGCGAGATCACGACAGGCTCTCCTGCGTCTGAACTGGTTCGGAGGGACCTGCACAGCTGGGAGACATGGGCAGGCCAACAGCTGGATGCAAACTGAAGCAGGAGCTATCACATTGCATCTGTTCATTTCAAACGACCGAAGTGATTGTCACCTGGGCCTCCAAATCTCACCACCCTGTCATGGACAGTGTCTATTTTACAGCCATTATAACCTAATCTCAGCTAATGTGATTTACACATAGTAATTAATGGAGCTTCGGCTGTAAGGAAATTGGTCATTCAGTCTGACTTTAATTTACTGCCCGTGCATACATTAGAAAGCACAAATTCCATAGCTGTTGTCTAGGTACAGAGAAAGGGATGTATGCCAGGAAGTTAAAAATAAAACACCCAGTAAACAATACACCGCTGGCCTTCAAACCTCCCGCTCCTGAAGCATCTCATAAGAAGGATGTTGACCGGTTGGAGCGAGTCCAGAGGAGGCCACGAAGATGCTCAGAGGGCTGGAGCACCTCTGCTATGGGGACAGGCTGAGAGAGTTGGGCTTGTTCAGCCTGGAGAAGAGAAGGCTCCGGGGAGACCTTATTGCACCTTAAAACACAGCATCGACATGAAAGGAATGAAGTGTGAGCCACAAGCATCACCCAGGCGCTCGGCGTGTATAAATCCAGTGTCCCACACGGGTTGAATTCCAAACGCGAGTCACCCACATCTCTCTCTTCCACTCGTTCCCTGACCCACTGAGGCCCAAGGGCAGCACAGCTGACAAGGCACCCAATGAAGCACATCCTCGGGCTCCCACCGCTCTCTCTTCCGCTCGTTCCCCGACCCGCTGAGGCCCCAGAGCAGCACAGCCGACAAGGCACCCGCCAGCCTTACCCGACAGGAACGTGATGAAGCACATCCTCGGGCTCCCACCCAGCACGCGGGTGCCCCGCCGAGCCTTCGACCACCAGCAGCAGCACCAGCAGCGCCCCGCGCAGATTTGAAAGGCGACGCTGCCGGGGCACTGTTAAACGTGCCTCTGCCCAGAGAGTGACCGTGGCACGCTGCGGGTGCCCACCGGGCACCCCAGGTCCCCCCTAGGTCAGCTCTTGGAGGTACGGGCACCCTCACGGTACGACCGCCTAACGCGTCTCGCCTCGCAGAGCTTAACATGACAGCTGATCCCGAGATACCTTCACCACCTCACACAGCTCCTTTTCCAAAACGGAACGCAAGGCAACGTTTAAGGCTCAAAATGGACTCGTTAACAACCCAATTCCATCTACGAAAGCAAGCTCTGCCTTTCGTTCTCTGCCAGGTTCATATCTTTTAAATAACGGTAATAATTTAAATAATTCCAATCTTAAAATGGGTTTCCTTCAGCAGTTTTTAAATTAAAGGCGAGCAAGGAATTTGGGGGGAGGCAGAAAATCCACAGATAGACATAAAAATAGGTGGAATGCATATGTAAGAGTAGAGTTTGTTTAAAAGAAAAACAGAGCAAAGAAACCTACATCTCTGCCTTCCCCCTCCAGAAACGGGGGGAAATCAAACCCAACAGCTCGGAACAGGCGAGGTACCCCCTGGATCCATCCCAGGGTTTCCTGCAGAAATCCGTGCCCCTGCCTCCCCCTGCTGAGCCCGGCCCGGAACTGCAGCCAGCCTTGGGGAAAGCGCCGCTTCCGCAGCGCCGTAGCTTCATGGCTTTCCCATTCCCCAGGGTTTAGCAGGATTTTTGCCCAGGTGCAACCTCCTCGACACCCAGCACTAGGCTAGGAAAAAAGGGAAGTTTACTTTAATATTAACGAGCCGCTGGCTAGAGTCTGGGGGGGGCAGAAGCATTACATTATTTTACACAAACACAACCTTCATAGCTTGTTCCCTTTACCTACACGTACCCGCTTCACATTTATCCCGTATTTTAACAGTGTTTATCTACCCTAAATCCAACTCACGGTACTGCCACCTACTAACAGCAAGTTACGGCAGCCCATCCCCTCCCTACCCCAGCCGGGCCACATCGCCCTCCTGCCTATTCCAGCCAGGCCCAAATCTGTCCCCTTCCAAGTGGCTTCTCCAAGCCCCAAAGGGGTTTGCAGCACCTCCGCTTGGGTGGACACTCCGAGCGTGCACATGCCGACTCCGACCTACAACAAGAGACAACAGAAAGGAGTGTGACAGCAGAAGGGCAGAAATGAGTGTATTAACACTGATATGGTACCAGGTGCTTCCGAAGGCCGACAAGGAAGCTGGGGGGGACTTTTACAAGGGCCGGTAGTGACAGGACAAGGGGCAATGGGTTTAAATTGAAAGTGGGGAGGTTTAGATTGGATATCAGGAAGAAGTTCTTCCTGGAGAGGGTGGTGAGGCACTGGAACAGGTTGCCCAGAGAAGCTGTGGATGCCCCATCCCTGGAAGTGTTCAAGGCCAGGCTGGATGAGGCTTTGAGCAACCTGGTCTAGTGGAAGGTGTCCCTGCCCATGGCAGGGGGGTTGGAACTAGATGGTCTTTAAGGTCCCTTCCAACCCAAACCGTTCCATGGTTCTATAAAACTATGCCTGGGCCACTATTGCACAGGGGATGCAGCAGAAAAGCAGGCTTTATTTCTAGAACTTTTTTACTCTTCAGTTTCAGTTTTTACTCCAGAGTTTCAGAAGAGTTAGGTGTAAAATTGGCTGAATTCATTCTGAAACCCCATCAAACAGCAAGGTGGCTATAACAGTGAGCACAGAACGCTGATGCTGCTGCCTCTGGTGAAGCTTTACCCATCCTGGTAACCGTTATTCTGGAGTTACTGAATCTTTGGACAAGAAGTCTTCGAAAACAGTTATTAACAGTCACAGCACGTGACAGACCAACCAATGCCTCGGGAACGTAGGAACACTCGTAAGCCGTGCCTCTGCCGTTGGCGTCCGTGTGAGGCTCTTAAACAGGCGCTGTGAAATGGTACCGCTGATAGGTTTAGGAGAGGAAGTATCAGCACGCCACCTTCACGTGATGAAGGCTGCCAATACCGCTGCGATTCCGTTCCTCGCGTCGCCCGTTAGGTTACCTTGACTACACGGGGAGACCCACCTTCCAAGCAGCATGACATTTAGCCTTTGTTGGCTCAGTGGAATTATCCTTGGTTTGCAGACTTCCGGTGTAATCCCAGCTGTCAGCTCCGGTCTTTAAGAAAAAAACACTTCAGTGTTCAGAGCAAGGATGTGGGTTTTGTTTTGGGTTTTTTGTTTTTTTTTTTTAAATCACTTCAATGCATTCACATCTTGCAAGTATATACCTTCAACTTTAAAAGTAGGTCTTAGGGATCAGTAGCCAGAGCACCCCATGCTCTTACTATAAATTATATCTCCGAGCTGTAATCCCTTCCCCACTTTTAACAACCAGGGAGCTCACTATGAATCGCTCTGGCAGCGGGATGCTAAGTTCAGCATTCCTTTTGCCTACCCGATAATAACGACGCTGGTGACTCTTCCTCAAGCACTTTCCCTCAGCAGGACACTCTTTGGTTTGAAAGCCTACGGAATGGAACTGGCGCTTTTTAACTGTTAGTCCTCTACTGTACATTTCAACCAAAACCGGGAGTTAAAAGGCATCACGTTTACATGACCTTTCACGTAAACCTAGGCTTCATTCTTGCGGCCAAAGCCTTGACGCCGCTCATGCCTTCCAAGTTTTCCCTGCACGACGCGGCAACTCAGAAGCGCTGGGAAAGATGCCATAACCTCACTTAGGACACTGTCCAGTTTTATCTGCAACTACCGCAACTATGGAGAACGTAACAACGCAAATTTGCATTTAAAGCGAGAACCCTTTCTATCAAAGGTGGTCACAAATTAGCGCGCACCTACTCTGGCCTTGGGCAATTTCTGTGGGATGGACAGTGTCCTGCATGGTGATTTGTCCCGTTACAGAGCATCGCATTCCCATAGTTCGCTACACGGGAACAGAAATACATCTGTTCCTACTTGCAGAACACTCTCGTGTATTTCTGAAATCACAGAACGGTTTGGGTTGGAAGGGACCTTAAAGACCATCCAGTTCCAACCCCCCTGCCATGGGCAGGGACACCTTCCACTAGACCAGGTTGCTCAAAGCCTCATCCAGCCTGGCCTACAACTTTAATCACTCACTTTCATTTATTTTATTAAGAGGACAAAAAGGAAGACTCCATCTGTAGCTTTTGTCAAGCCATGGAATACACTAACAGCTCTGACTCTCCTCCCTGAATTTATCCTCTAAGTAGACTTTTCGGGGTTTTTTTAAGACAGGAGCAGGGATAGAATCACTGTCTTGTTTACAGCCCTGCAAGAGACTGAGGTTAAAAAAAAGCTCACACGAAGAGATGCACACTATCACAAATGCCAACAGCCATCAAATTGTCCAGTTTATTGATGGGAATTCAAAACTGATACAAAACATGCCCTCTTTCGCATGTCGTATTTTATTTTACCCTTAAAATGTTTCCGACAGCGTCGGGTCGATTCAGAGTTACGAACGTACCTCGGCTTTCAGCATGTACCTCTTATAAAGGTGTTACACAAAAGCCACCAACTTACGTAACACGTGGTCCCAAAACTGCTTTCAGACATTTTATCAAAAGACCCAGATCGGTTGCTGATCTGACGGAATAAAGGCTTAAAAATGTTTTAAGCCACTAATAAGTATCCTACGGCAGAGTCAAGAAAGTTTATGATTTCTGTTATAATCTTGGGCATAAAAAGGCAACAGTCCTAGAAAAAGCAGCCCTCCAGAATACACGGAACGTGGCGATGGGTACGATGCCGATTTGTAACGATCCAGTTAAGTGAAAGAGATTTTTAAAAGCTATGAATATGATGTGAGCAGGATCACAGCAAAATATTTAATGAATAGCACAGAACCAACCAGGCTGGAGAGTCGAGTAGGTGCTGTTTCAATCAGCAGAGATTTGTTATGTCAAATATACCAAAACGTTCTCTAAAATAAATTCCTAAGGCAGCAAAATCGATGTAAAGGTTGCTCCTAGCTAACAGTACCTTTTCTTTAAACTGGACCCTAAACTGATCAGACAATACATAGCCCACGCTTTCGGACATTTATAATAAAAAAAGCTTTTATTTTCAATTGGAACAAAACGCACCATCCTGCACTTGAAGGCTGTCACGAGCCGTAAGCGTATTCCAAGGTGTATCAATGGCAACAGATTCGTTTTACCTCCACGGAGAAGTTACATAATGCACTCTTAATTGGTAAAGGAAAATTAAACTCAGCCTTCTCGAAGCTTCTGTACTGTGTTTCTTGGTTATTGTACAGTTCCACAGTCAGACCAAGAGTTGGCAGATATTGTAGTCGATCAATAGCATTGTTTAATCATCATCCTCCTCCTCTTCCTCTTCCTCCTCAAAACTGTCTTCGAAGCCCTCGCTGTCTTCCTGGTCCTCATCACCTTCTATTGCCGTATCCCACTGCGGGTGGTTTTCTGGCACTGGTTTTGCTTCATGAACTTCCAGCTGTAATTGGATAAAGAAAGAAAAGGGGGGCAGGGGGGAAAAGGGTTACAGACAATACACACCAGTTTGGGAAAACAAACAAAAAAAATCCCACCCAAAACCAATGACGCACATGAAACTGACGGTTTAAAAAAGATGAAACAATAAAACACACACACCACCCCCCAAAACAAACAAATAAACAAACAAAGAAAACCAAACCAAACAAACCCGGCAACTGCTTCCAGAAATGACATGCCAGATTTTTCTCTTTAACTGGATGTGTCTAGGACTAAGGGCAGGGAAATGGCATGGCAGACCTCGAGGTATAAAGCCCAAGCCAACCATACTGCAGAAACTGAGTAAATATGAGAAAACAGAGGCACTGGAAAGCATCACAAACCTTTAGTCCCATTTAACCCATCATAAAACTGCCAGTACTGGCAGCAGGCAGAACCCTGATGTCCTAAGTCTCTCCTTGGCACTGTTTTGAATTTAGGACCGCTTGAATTCTTAAAGTTAAGAGGCCTTGTGGGGCTTGAAGTAGCTTTCAATACCACCCAAACATGGAACACAGTGAAACATCACCTTCAAGGGTTTAATCTGGTCCAATCCCATGTATGAATCCGATCTTAAATAGACTGTGTACTGATAGTTTCCAGGCTTGCCTGGTGCTGGGAACTTCAGCTCTACCTATAAAACAGAATTCACACCGTGAGTTCTTACTGCTTTCAAGTGACACATTAGAACAAGTACCTGAGTACTCTAACGAGCCATAAAAATACTACTATTAGGGTTTTTTTTTTTCTTTAACAAATCTTGGTTTCTTACAAGTGACAGTTCCGGGAAAATCCCTACGTGACAAGATACCCGCAGAAGAGGTAGGATACTCAAACACAATGCCTTCCACGAAAGACTAATAACCAAGTCACATCTTTTTCTGAGTTGGACCAAGTAACTCTACATTAAAGACACAATTTCACCCTGAGGTACACTTCCTAAATCTCAAAAATCCGAACACGTTAAAATATTTAGTCTGCTGAAAGTATTAGCTTAACTCTACTGTTATTTGAAATTGAACATAAAAATGTAGTTTCAAAGAACAGAATACACCCAATCTCCATTTTTGAGGAAAGCAAAGAACACAGCCAAAGGTTAGTCTCAGAAAGGTTCACGCGAGCCGAGGCTAATTAATTTGTCACAGCCTCTGCTTTACAGAAGAAGAACACTTAGCATTTCTCACACATCTGAATAGCTTTAAGAACGATCACTGTGTACGAATACTGGTTTTCATCGGCCTTTGATATCGGGGGGAAAAAAACCCACCCATGTTCTGCAAAGAAACTTGAAAGTCATCTTAAATTATTTTTTTCCTTTCTCCATTATCAATTTTCACAGTTTAAAGGCTCTTCTCTACTTTTATCAAGAGAGTAAAATTCCTTTTCCATCTTCAGAGGTAACTATGAGAAGAATTAAAATCTAAGTGTATCTGCATACCACAAGACACTTCAGTACAGCTTTGTAACGCCCCAAAAGAAAATTCCTCAAGTACTTTACCTCTTCTTTGTCTTTTAGTGTACAAACGTGATATGGCATACATATTAGCATCTGCTCCTTCCGATCTGCAATATACAGCCACCACCATTCTTGCTTTTCCTTTCATAAAAGAAACAAAACAACCCAAGAGAATTATTATAGTCATGTAAAACGATGCCCTTACACTTTATAACAGGTAATGATGATTAACTGGTCCTTACAACACAGCTAGAAAGGAGGTGGCTTGTGGGTTTTGTTAGTGTTCAACTCTAGGATACGTACGAATAAAACGGTATATACTGAAAGCAAACAGGTTCTCTCCAGTAACTGTTGGTCTCCGAAGGCTTCGTTCTATATATTCAGATGACGCTACTGTGCGAGACGTGGAATCGTCCTGAAGAATCGTGTGCACGGAGGACTAACGAGCAACTCCATGCAACACGTACTGCCAGCGGTCCTTCTACAGAAACCCAGCCTGGGGAATGGGTCAGCACATAAAGCAAGGCACGCCAAAAGGCAGGTGAAGTACTCTTCCCAGTAAACAGCCTTCTTCAGGAGATGTGGTTTGCCCTACTCATTCTCTCCCACTTCAAAAAAGAGGGAATCTGCTGAAAGCTGGAATAGCAAGACTTCACTCTGAGGAAGCGTGAGCCACAGGCAACAGTGGTATTTGTAAAGGATACCCAACAGCTGCCTGTCACATCAGCTTTCAGGGCAGCCACAGCTCTCTGAAGCCTTGCCACTGCAGGCACTGACGCAGAGTTCCTGAACTAAACTACTTGAGCGTGCAGCTCTTCATAAGAGACAGCAACACCGTACAAAAACAGTAGTTTATCCCCCAGTTGGACGCAGATTTTCAAGACTGTGGTGCAGTCCAGCAGCATAGACAGAACTGCTCTCCAACGGGGAAGGCTAGAGCTCTTCAGTATCAACTGCTCTTCAATTCCTTTGTGGTTAAACCCTCTGGCACACATTTCAGGCAAAATCTACCTTGTTTTAATAGAAGATGAAACATTTCTACTGCAAAAAGGTTACGTTTACTACTGCAAAGCAGGCTTCCATTTCTTCACCTCCTTTCAAATGTGAGCTGGGAAGGGGGACGAAGGACATCTTCATGCTTACGAAGACGTATTTTGGTAGGTAGGTAACAGTCACAACAGCACAATCTTACCCTTAGAGAAAACCCCACACCTTTTAGGTAATGTGGCTCCCCGAGTCCAGAGGAGGCCACAAAGATGCTCAGAGGGCTGGAGCACCTCTGCTATGGGGACAGGCTGAGAGAGGTGGGCTTGTTCAGCCTGGAGAAGAGAAGGCTCCGGGGAGCCCTTATTGCACCTTCCAGTACCTGAAGGGGCTACAAGGAAGCTGGGGGGGACTTTTTACAAGGGCCTGTAGTGACAGGACAAGGGGTAACCGGTTTAAATTGAAAGTGGGGAGGTTTAGATTAGATATCAGGAAGAAATTCTTCATGGAGAGGGTGGTGAGGCACTGGAACAGGTTGCCCAGAGAAGCTGTGGATGCCCCATCCCTGGAAGTGTTCAAGGCCAGGCTGGATGAGGCTTTGAGCAACCTGGTCTAGTGGAAGGTGTCCCTGCCCATGGCAGGGGGGTTGGAACTAGATGGTCTTTAAGGTCCCTTCCAACCCAAACCGTTCTGTGATTCTGTAACCCAGGTGTTAGACTGCTGAACTCTGTTCCAAAGCAATTTTTACCCACCTCAATGGTCTGGTGCCCAATCACGTTTATAATGGATTGGGTCCCTAAAGTGTGCACCTTCAGACAGTTATAAGTCAAGCTCCAAGCCATAAGGTCCATTTTCACACATTTATACCACCAAACATCAGGTGGTTGCTTCAGTACCACATGAAAATGGTTGGGTTTCAGTTTGTTTTCAGTCTAACAGCATTAGGAGGACTGAAGGAGACTGGACTAACACCACCACTGAGCCCCTTCCAAATTCCAGAGGTGGGAAGCAAATGCTGTTAATATGTACAATTTGAAGTTTTATCTCTACTGAAAGAGTCAGAAGTTCAATAGCTTTGGTGTGGGTTGGTTTGTTGTGGTGTTTTTTTTTTTTTTTTTAAACACTTTAGAAGCCAATGTTTGGTGAGCTGAAATTTAAAAAATGCAGGTTGAAAAAAATTACAAAAGCTAAAATAACTCATTTTCTCTTTTGAATTGACTAATTGTTACACTAGTAATAATTAACAACCTCCCACTGAAAAAATTCAACTTGCAAACTACAGATTTACAACAGCAAGACGCTCACACCAGCAACAGAAACAGCCTGATTAGTGCTGCTCAGCCTCAGAGCAGAGGGCTGTAAAATTAACTCAACATGTTAATGCCCCTTTTACAGTGTATAAAAACAAAAGCGATTGCATCACAGTAAAGCAACAACATTCCTTCACGGGTTTAGTACAACGGGCACTGAGAATGGGACAAAAAAAACCCCTATTCATATACTATTTAAGACCAGAATTTGTAGTATTGTAAGAAGTCCTTTTTACAACTATTCTAAGGGATTTTCTTTATGAAAAACTGTCCCATGTGATTATGAGGCATAAGTTATTTTATCAGTAAGTTCCAACAAGAAATATATTGTCAATCTGCTTGACAGCTGTAGCAAAGAAGAATTTCATGCAGTTCAAGTGTTTATTTCCTAGCCAAGGGGTCTCTCGGAATAGAAGGATAAACAGTATAAATCACACAGATGAACAAGAACTACAGAAACAAGATCCATCACAGAAACAGCTACTTGCCTTACAGGTCAGGGCCTAAAAGGTCTCTGACCACAGGAAAAAGGATATGCATGTGTATCAACAGGTTATTTTTGATGATACTAAAACACTGTGTAGATTAACGTACATTGTGTATGTTTTCACCACTCTCAATGGCAAGGAGTAATTATTTTTTTTTTTTTAGAACAAAGATCAAACTGTCAACTGGATTTTCACAAAAACTGGTAGAAACAACAGCCACGGGGCGGGGGCAAGAAATACCAGAACAAATAGCATTCATGGATCTAATGCTCAAAGGAATCCACAGAGTAAACTCCTCAGAAGTAAAGCTCCTGAACCCAAAGTGCCACTGCTTTTTTACAGAAAGGACAACTGTGCAGGAGTGTCATTTTCCTCTCTCTTATGGGATGGAATTTAAAGTTTATGCCTGTGAGAACCTGGCAAGCTAACAGGCAAGTGGGCAAAATGCCCTTTAACAGATGGGTGCAGGGTTTGGCACGCCAGGGAACCATTATGTTCATGAAATTGGAACACCAGGGCCAGTTTCTACCTAAAAATGTCAAAACTACAATCTGTGCAGTTTCTGGATCCATGGATGCAGGAGCAGAAGATAATTATTTAGGAATCTGCATAGATTCAAGTTGCATCTCTGGCAGAGTAATCAAGTGCCCCAAAACTTAAATGAAACAGCGTTAGGGCTACCTCCTGAGAATAAGTATGTTGGGCTCAGCTACACTCACACACCCACAAATTCCGGAAGTAGAGAGCTTCATACAACTACAGTACTTCAACCTTAACCGGTCACGACCACAATACACATAATACTCTAAATCACAGATGAAAAAACACCTAGAAAATACTATGGGTTTTGTTCTTTGGACGTTGCACATCAACTCTACCTGAATAAACTCCAGCTGCAGGTACAGTCCTATGTACAGCTGCATTCAACTCACAGGAAATCAGTGAGGAGAGGTTGGAAAATTTACAACTGCAGTACCGTGAGATAATGTGTGTGTATCTTTCAACTCCAGTTCAGCCCTAGATTATTTTTTCTAGCGTAGTACCGTATTTAGGTTTTACCATAAAACTCACCAGCAGTTTGGTTGCACACAGCTGAAGCTTAAACAGCTTTGTACAAAGCAAGTATAAGCTCAGTCTCTGAAGGAGCCCTCAGTGCAGTAAGAGAAATACAAATAGTTAGCACTCCTGTTGCACTGGGCACAGGACATACTTGCTGTCTGAGCTTAGACTGGTGACCAAACCAGCTGCCTTTGCAGCAGGGAGGTATTAAGGCTCTGCCGCCTGTCTGACATGATCTAAGGCAGCCAGAAGAGCAGAATGCCAGTGCACCTTTTCTTGTTATGCCGGTGTACTGCTGGAAGCTAGGTAAGAGATGGGAGGGTACCCCATCTCAGCCCATTTCCTGGGCTGTATCAGAAGTGTGGCCAGCAGGTCAAGGGAGGGGATTCTGCCCCAGTGCTCTGCCCTCCTGAAACACCACCTGGAGTGCTGCGTCCAGCTGTGGAGCCCTCAACATCAGAAGGATATAGACCGGTTGGAGCGAGTCCAGAGGAGGCCACGAAGATGCTCAGAGGGCTGGAGCACCTCTGCTATGGGGACAGGCTGAGAGAGTTGGGCTTGTTCAGCCTGGAGAAGAGAAGGCTCCGGGGAGACCTTATAGCACCTTCCAGTACCTGAAGGGGCTACAAGGAAGCGGGGGGGGACTTTTTACAAGGGCCTGTAGTGACAGGACAAGGGGGAACGGGGTTAAATTGAAAGTGGGGAGGTTTAGAGTGGATATCAGGAAGAAGTTCTTTCCGGAGAGGGTGGGGAGGCACTGGAACAGGTTGCCCAGGGAAGCTGTGGATGGCCCATCCCTGGAAGTGTTCAAGGCCAGGCTGGATGAGGCTTTGAGCAACCTGGTCTAGTGGAAGGTGTCCCTGCCCCTGGCAGGGGGGTTGGAACTGGATGGTCTTTAAGATCCCATCCAACCCAAACCATTCTGTGATTCTATGATTCTATCCAGGAAAACACAGTGTTACAATCAGCCGTTACAAAACCAGATGTTGTGCGGCCACAGAACTCTCAGCTAAGGCCCTCAGGACAATAATTACTTTGATTTAGTTGTGTATCTTGTCTGGCTCCTTAGCAACAGGTCTTGCTTCCCACACTTTGCTTTCTAATGGTGGCAGAACCAGGTAAAACCAGCAGGAACAGTATGATCACGAGCACGGGGACACCACAGTGTTTGGCATGGACAGCAATCTGTACAGGGCATAGACATTAACAGCCTTGGAGCAAATGTACACCGTGTCTTCCTTTTTTCTCATGTTTTCCTGTTCTTCCCCATCTCAGGTGTCTCCTTTAAATCACAAACAGAAGCTTAAGCTTTATCCTCCCTCCCTGTTATTGGAGATGGCACAACAAGAGACCCTAAAGATCTCTAGGAAAATCTAGAAAAGGAAGATCTAGGAAGATCTAAGAAGAGATCCTAAATTAGTTCCCTTGTCAGACAGCAGGGAAGGAAAGGAAACCCTCTGAACAACTGACCTGGAAAGAAAGTGGGGTCAAATACTCCTTCCTCCTGGTTCCCATCTGGTTGCCTCCCAAAGCCCTAACACATCTGCTTAAAACAGAAAGCCCACGCTTTGAAAAGCCACATATTTTTCAAGGTTTCATTGCTGTGATGGGTTGTCAGACACCTATTGAGTGGGGAGCTGCCTAGGTAAATAACAGCTGATATATCAGAACACACTTTCAACACCAAAGGCTGCTGTAAAGCTTATCTACTATGCTGAATGTCCACTCAAACACATCCCTTTCTCTGACACCCATCCACACCTGATCTTCTGTTTTTGAGCCCTACAGGAACGATTGTCCCACAACTGGTTTCTGCCACCTCCAGACTACACTGTGGTAGAAACAGGCAGCTTTGCCAACCCTCTCCATCTTCCACAGCTGCACGCTGTGTTGCCACCATGCTGTTGTGTTGAGGCTTCAAGCCAAACAATCTGCTGATCCAAAGGACCCCCAAACTCTCTTGTCATTACTGTTAACAGAGGGGTCAAGACCTCCCCCACTCACAGCCACTTTCAGCTGGATAAAGAACAAGTAATACTCTACCCTTAACTCTGCATTAGAGCCACTACTGTGCTTTCATGTGCCACAGCAAAGAGAGACCAAAAGGAATATAAACTAGATCCCTATATATCTGAAAGGTCCCTAGGTTGGAGAGATACGGATTTGAGGGGTGGACAAGGAATTAGCTGGACAGTCACGCTCAGAGTTGCTGTCAATGGCTCACTCAATTTGTATTACGTTATTTCTCATGTTTCACAACTGGAACGTTTTCTATTACTGACCTCAGGAAAAAACAGACTGTAAACAGGATGCGTTATCTTTGACTTCGTTTCAAGAAGGGCTCGTTCCTTTCTCTGTATACTCTGCTGTAATTCTTGCCACTCCTGTAAAAGAGAAGTTTAAAGAGTTACAGTACACTAGTTACCTTTTGCTTTTTAAAAAAAAAGACATTTTAGCCCACAGAAGCGATATATATGACAAGTTCTGGTGCTACACCACACATTAGGGGGGGCCTACATGGAAGCGGGGGGGGACTTTTTACAAGGGCCTGTAATGACAGGACAAGGGGTAACGGGTTTAAATTGAAAGTGGGGAGGTTTAGATTGGATATCAGGAAGAAGTTCTTTTCTGGAGAGGGTGGTGAGGCACTGGAACAGGTTGCCCAGGGAAGCTCGATGTGAAGAACAAAGTTCAAAGGAGAGATTATCTCCAAAAACCTGCAGCAGCTAGTAGTCAAATTAAGCTGAAAGAAACGCTATAATCTTTCCTTGAAGTTAAAAATTACATGAGAAAAATAGCTTAAGTTTTCCGTCTATGCTGCAAAGATCCTTCGCTGCTCTCTCAGAAACAGACTTGCAATAACAAAGCTCTTTGCTGGAATGAGATCTGAAAACCTCTGGAGAACTGCTATTACTCCTTCATCCTAGTGTTGCCTAGCCTGAGGGGATGCTGGAGGATTAAAATGCATTTTCTCTCAACCCCACAGGCAACATTACCCTTCAAGAATAAGTAAGGCTTACAGCTTCATCATCTTTGTTTTGCTTCTCATCTTGTTCTCTGTCAGAGTCTCTGTCACTTCCATCATCTTTTTCACTTTGAGAGTCCCTGTTTGTTTCTTCTTCTTCAGATTCACTTCCTTTGTCAGAGATCTCCTCCTCCTCTTCCTTCGCAACTACTTCCTAAAGGGAAAGAAAAAAAAAAAAAAGGAAAACCAAAACCCTCTTAGTTTGTCTGCATTATTGTAGCTTGCAGCATCCACAGCACCTGTCTTAAGGTCATGGCTCTTATTTCCCATTTTGATCTACACTCCTCATGTCACAGAGTATTGTCTGCAGTGAAGATTAATCCTTTTCACCTCATGTGCTATGAGGAGGCTGGGAAGCAGTTTTGTTTCTCCAAATGGCACCCACAACACGAGTAGGAGAAAACAGTATTTTGTTCTGGGGTTGCATTCCAAAACAGTCGTAAGGAAGTTAGAGAGAACGTAAGAAAGCGCCCACAACATAGCCCATGAGGTGGAGAAAACACCAGGCAGTGGGAGCATAAAGGTACTAAAGTCACTTAATTTACCAGAAGAAAGTCTCATTTCAGTTTGGGGGTTTTCCCTTTAAAGAAAAAGGTACAGAACAATTCACCTCCCAGAAGACAGTATAACAACAACTAAGAAGAAGGGACTATGAAGCCAGACTTCTAAAGTAGTGGGGCACAACTTTCATCAGGCCACTGGAAATGTTACTGTGGTGTTTGTCTGATTATTTTACCAGTATTTTTTAAATGTGAAGAAAAATAAAAAGCTATTTTATGAGATATGCTTGCCAAAAGCACAGTATTAGATGTAGCAGATAGATACAAAAGCCCCATCAGATCCGGAGTGATAAGCTGAACAAAACACTAAAATATCAATGAATCTATGAAATATCAATGAGCTACCCCATTAGCTTGTTTTTGCTTCTGCTGTTTCGGCGGCTGCAATGAAGGTGGCACAGGTTTCTTTTTTAGTGGCTTCTTTTTCTTTGACTTTGAAGCTTTCTTGGTTCCTTTATTCTTTTGCTGCCATCCTTTGCTCTTAACTTTGTTGACATCTCCTTGCTGTAGGAAAGTAGTATTTAAAATATTTATTCTGTTCATTAAATTTCAGGCACTGACTGTACTTCATGCATTTTAAACTGAGAACTGAAGTTCGAAAGCATAGCTGAAAAGACACATCAGTAGGCATTTCTGGGTTAAAAAAAAAAAAGCTTGAGAAGCACATAATTAGCAACTCAGGATCTGCAAAAAAAAAAATCTCTTTAAGCTAGCAAGTGAACATTCATTCTTCACTTACCCCATCTTCTGTTGGTTGCTCTTCTGCTGCACATATAGACTGTTCCTTTTCAAAAACTTCCTGGTTAGAGAAAGGTGTGAAAACTATTAATGCCCCTCTGTACCAAAAGAGCAAATTATTTTCTATTTTAACCTAAATCACCTTAATCAGGTCTGAAGGTTTTATTCTATCGAAATTCTTATAAGTGACAAACACAACAGAGGATTAACACATCCAAATTAAACACTATTTTGAACATTTGATCCAGGATTTTTCCATCGCCAGCATTATAAAGAAATTTAATAAAATATGTCCTCTTGTTCCAAAGAATCTACTTGTATAAAACACAGAAACAGCGTGTCACAAAAGCAAGCAGTAGTAAAATGCAAATTCTGCTCCACTTGGCAGAGCAATAAAAACTTCAACAGCTGCACTGCTACTCAGGACAACAACTCACACCAGAAATATGAAACGTTAAGAGGAAACACAATGTTAGTATTATGCAGCTTAGAACATCTCTACGTAAATGGAATTTTTTCATGCATTTCTTTCTTCAAAATATACTGTATGCGATTAAAAAAACCACCTCAGGCATCAGAAACTGTCTTGTATAAGGACAACAAATATGAGATACCACCACCGACAAAAGCATCATATAAAAGGCTAGCTCTAATTTTTAGGTCATGTACCTCGATGTCAGACTGCCAAGTGGAGTTCACATTGAAAACATCTTAAGTCAGTTTCCTATACGCTGTCAGACCTTTAATTAATTTCTAAGTACAGCTCAATATGCTCACAATTTTCAGTTTCCTTCATCTTTAAGATCCAGCATAGCGATAAAGTGCTTTTACTTTCTACCGACTACACCCTCAGTTACCACTGAGATGATGCATTCTGAAATTCCACAGCATGAACACGTGGTACTGATCTATACAGGCTGCTTCCTGCTACAGTCTGATCCTCAGCTGCAACTCATGCCTGCATGCCTCACCTTAGAGGCGTAGCTCGGACTTTGTATATTTAAGACAATGATCGAACAGTACAAATGCAAAAATTGAGACCGTAGGCTTGGTTAGGAAAAAGTTTGTGCAGTTTCTGTGCATTAAGGGGTTTTGTTCAAAGAAAGTCATTACAGTGTTTTAAGCTACAAAATAAGCACAAGTCGGAAGTTTAACTACTAGGGTGCAGTATTCTTCCGGTCATGCCACATCGCTACCCACTCAGCAGTTCACTTCCTTTACGCGGCACTACTGTGCCTCCTTCATATTAAGTGATGTATATTCTGCCTTCCGCTGGGGTTCTTTCACAAAGTGTCTCAAACACTCACGAGATTCGTAACATTATCAATCCACATCAAGTGAAATCAAACACTGGCCCAAGGATTTGAGTGAATGCTTTACTCCAATTCAAGAACTAAGTTTCTGAATGTCTCTTTTCCTGTTATTTACAAACCTGAAGGCAGTATCACTTGCCATATTCTTTTGCTGTTCCCTAGACAACTGCAACGGGTCAGACTGAACTTTGGTTTGATTCCAGGAAAAAACTTTCTCAGTCAGAAACAAAAACATCAGGGAGGATTAAGAGCACCAGTTCTCAGTTTCAAATCTTAATTTTACAGTTATATTTACAAGCCACTATGTTAGCTTGCAAAGAAGAAACGCCTGTTTATTAGCATTTTCTTGCAGTTACCCTGAAAGAAGTAGTATTCTTAATACTTACTGCCATGGTCTGTCTTGTTAGTGTGACCAAAACAGTGACGAGAGAACCTACTGTAATATTGTTGCTGTCTTCGTCATCCAAAACTAGTGTAAAAAGAAAAGCAATGCATCTATTAAATTTCTTCATAGTCTTTTTTTTTTTCCATTAAACATTGTTTCTGCTATATCTAAATATAAGCATACAAATTCCAACATTTTTACTTTCAAGGCATTATTAAATAAGTCTCTTACAACTTCAAATATACCATCAGGATGAGGCTGGCAATTCAGCAAGCTATAAAACAGCAACATTGAGTTTGAAATTTTAATTGCATGAAAGTTAGGAAATTCAAAGTTATAGCTACTGTGGGAACCATAACTCTGTAACACTGGGCATTATATATTAAAGCATAAAACTTCAGGAACATGAAATACCACACATGACCAAAGGGATCCAGTTATATTTGTTCTGGGAATCGTAACTTTGATTTTCCTGACTTTCATATGATTAACAACTCTATTTCAATGCCACATTAACAATCATGCATTTAATTCTTTTCTTTTTTTTTTTAAGAGGAAGGCAAAGGAAAATAAAAGAACAGCAGTGATTATTTTAACTAAAACATCAAACATAAAACCCACAGGAAAGCCATTGAGGAGTGTATCTCTCCAATCTGTGAAATGGAGAATGTCCCAGGTTGGGGAGGAAGGTGGTTACGTCCCAGTGTAGAAAATCTATTTATTTTTTCTCCCCCTACCCCTGAGAAAGTAGTTTTACTATTCACTAGTTTTACATATGTATTTTATGTAATGGTAATACTGAGCTAAACAGAAAAGCACATGCATTGTTTAATCCTCCATACAATTCTGACTACAGTTGTGACACAGATGGAAACTACAGGCAGAAAAGGGTCGCTTGCCAAAATATGGGAAGGTACTCCAAGACTGAATTTTAAGAAGATTAACAGGACAGGACTGTGTACAATCCCATGCTACAGAAGATAATTTATTTTGTTTGTTTTTAAAAAAACACACATAAACAACATTCAGAAATACCAAGATTAACAGACATTTGCTTCCCTAACAGATACTCCCATTAACAGTTACTTCTCACAAAGGTCTATACATAAGCCAAATCAAGTTAGGCTACCCAAACAGAATAGATCACATTCTGAATTTGATCATTGCAACCACAGTTAAGAATACAAACCAGAACCACCTTTCAACTATCTCACATTTACTAGCACCGATCTTCTACAAAGGAAAGGGAAACCAATTCACTTCCCCTTGAAAGGCCGTTGAACAGGAACTGCTTAACAACGTACCTCATCTTCAGAGAGGAAAAGCATTATCCATTCATTGAAACAGTGCACACCCAAGGCAGCTAAGCTTAGCATGGGCAAACTCTACCAGATATAAAAACCATAGAAGGATTATCACAAAGGAACCCATGAATATTTAGTCATCAGGGTCTCCAACTCAAAAATCTCACAAAGGACTGTCCATGCTGTAATAAGCTGAAAATAAATTCAGGAATGAGCAAAACTTTAAAGATAGCTAATAAAAGTGGTATTTCAACCAGAATTCCACATGGCTCATGAAAAATTAAATCAACAGATGAAATATAAGCTCCTGTAGGAGAAACTACTGCTGGCTTGGGAATCTGTGAAAAGTTTCAATGTACTTTATCTCTTCAGACGATAAATCTCACGTACAAGAGGCCGCCACTCAAACAAGTATGTCATTTCCAGGCCACATAAATAACAGTGAGTTGTGTTTCAGCATCCTCCAAAAGCTTACTGCCAAGAGACTATCAAAGTGTCAGAAGAGCGACATACACAGAAGAAAAAGGACCTCCCACTCACCCTGTGGTTTTATATCCATAGTGACATACGGAAAGCTGCCAAGGACAGCCATAACTTCATCATATTTCTTGTCTTCTAGGAAGTGCAGTAAATTGCGACGATCAGAACCTTTCAAACTCACCAAATCCTGAATACTTTTGATTTTATACTGAATTAAAAAATAAAGAAGAAAGGAAGTCACATGGTGGCAGAGAGCACAGAACACAAACAAACTCCAGATAATGCATCGCTTGTGTCCCCACTTTACTCATACATACACATCATTTGATTTGTTCTTATAAAAACACGTACTTTATGAAACCAGCAAGCATGTGTTTTGCGAAACAATAAAACAAAGGTGTTGCATTCAACACTATTAAATATCACTGTTTTGAGCACTGGTGTGTTCCTCAGTATGGATGTCACCCCTCAGAAACTGGATACATTTCTTATAAAACTATTATTTCAGCCAGCTTTTTCAGAAAGCTGAGCCAACAAGTCTTACTAATCGGGTTCTTTATTTAGAGTACTTCAGGGGTTTGAGATTTATATTAGCAGGAACAACTAAATAAAAGTTACAGGGGTTTTTTTCATATGGAACTGAAAAGGAATATTTTTAGATTCGTTTGAAGATTTGCACAGCAGAGCTAAAAGGATAAAAGACCCACACATTTGCCTAAACACTTGGTTACCTCACCATAAGTGTATGTGTTTTATTAAAAACAACTTCATGCATCCAGGTAGACTGAGCATATCTCCAGTCTAGGGGACTGTATATTTTAAAGATCCCAATGCACAGGAACCTGCACAAATAAGCCTAATAAACCAGTCTCTTCCCTGATCAGGGGAAGGATAGGTGGGATTAGAAGACATTCTTGATTTCCGTACGTAGTTACACCGCATATATCAAAAAAATACATCTAAAATTGCATACTCTCCTGGATGCTCCCTGTAGTTTAGGGCTGGAATAAGAAATCTGATGATAACTATAGGAGAATTATTCTTTTTCACTTCCTCCAAAGGAAAAGACTACTTGACTATTTGAAGAACAAGCATCTGCAAAGGTTATTAAAAAACACAGTACTTAAGAATTCTTATCTTCACACTAACACAGAAGCATTTAAATACCACCTAAGGCTGCAGTTAAAGCTAAACAAAACTTGTATTAGATAAAAAGAATATTTTTAAGATTGATCAAAATAACTATTGTAATAAGACTATAAAAAAAAGTCAACAGCTTCTAGTAGAAGGTAACTGCTTGTTTCTAGCCAGGCATTCCTAGAAGATATAGTACAGTCAAACAAGCAGGTTTGAATAGTCAGTGAAACAGTGAAGAAACGTATGCAGGGATTCAGACAAGACCAATCGTTTTTATACTTAATTTCTACAAATACCAACACTTATCCACCCACAACTACATAGCAAGGGCTTTATAAAGCATCTTCTTTCATACCTAAAGGATCACAAAACCTTAAGTACTTCCCACAGCAGCTGATAATGTTTTTTTCCTTTTATGTACTCCCCTCTACTACCCTTCAAATAGATTTTCTATCAAACTAGATTAAGAATGATGTAAAGACAAACAATGTCTCATTCTGGAAAAATATTAAATAGGAGATAGTACTCTCTAGTAAGAAAGAAACTGTTTCTTCTGTGTGTGAGGTCAATGTAGACCGATCCTGTACACTTATCAGAGCTCTGATATTAATTACCACCTCCTAACTGAGGTGGACTTCAAAGAAAACAAAAAGCACACAGATCATCTTGGAAGTGTTCTACTGAATTCCTAAAAATAAATGTGTTTTTATTCTCTTCTTAAATTCATGACCTTGTTTCTGATAGGCAAATATGTAAGAGTAGTACCAAAATGTTTTAAGAAGTTACCAAGTATCATTTGTAGTTTTATACCTTTTTGTGATTGGAGACACGCCTGAGATTATCCTCTTCAATGTGAGGCAGTTGCAGAAGGGGAGACTTGAACTGCTGAAGTCCCTGGACAGTCATCTGTGACAGCTTCATGCAATTTTCCAAAGATCCCAAAGATGGAGCACGGAACTCCCTTTCTTGGGGAGAATGAAACAAGACAACATTATTTTTCAGTTCTTACAACTTTACAGTGTATAGCTGCACTAGAGACTACAGAAAACCTTGTTTTCTGTCAACCAAGCAAGAGTCTTAAACTGTTCAGCATAATTAACCAGGCAGTCTTTTTACTCACTGCAGTCACACAGCTCAACAGATATTTTCTTCCCTCTATTTAGCCTATCACAGCTGAACATTAAGAAGGGAAAATCTTCCATCTAACATTGACTCATGGAACAACAGCACTACACAGCCATGCAATTATTACAGAAAAAAACTCCACCGCTTAAAGAGCAGCATCAAAACCTACTTGTTTCAAATCTGTGTATTTTACGTGTGTGTATAATGTGTTCAGCTCTGCTTTGTAAGCGTACTATTAAATATAGTTTATCATTAAACATTAATCTTTCACACCACAATACATTATTTATAAGATTTTCATCTTAAGATATGAAGATAAATGTAACAGCCTATTACACGCAAGAGAAAACTATGTATAACTGAAGCTAAGCAGAGTGCATTATGTAGAAGGCAGTAAGAATAGCTGTAAAAAGACAGGAGGCATGGCTCTTGTAAGTACTCTTAAAGGTTAAAAGGGGTGTCTGAGCAAAAATCTGTGACTTTTCCTTTAGAAATTACCAATAATTCTTTTCATATTTTACAATACAAAAACGTATAATTATTAAGATTATGTAGAGTGTATGACAGACAAGGAGAAAGACTTAAGCAGAAGTGAGCAAAAGGAAAAAAAACAAATATCATTGAATACTTTTCATCATGTCTGCAAAGAAACGAAAAAGCAGAGCAGACGGATTTCCACATACTGCTCTTTCACTTTGTTGGACAACCATCCATTCATAAATAAGAACTTCTCAAACCCTGTTTAGAAAACACATTTCAGAATTCAGCTGAAGAGCTGCTACAAGTCCAGAATTGGCATTGTCACTCTATATATACTTCACCATGAAACAGAAAAATAAGTCAGATCCTCTTCAGAGAGCCAAGAGGAATTTAAGCTATTTCAATATTTTTATGAACTCGTGTGTGGCATATGAAAGCACTGAAGGCAATTTTAAACATACCTTACAGAAAGCACCTGTAATTTATGATGCCTGTCATTTGATTTAGGAATATGTGTATGTGTTTTCCTATATTTTAAAACCTTTTCTGAGAAGCAATCAACCTTTGATTACCTTGACTGTTATAGTTATATTCTGCATATAAACAAGTAACACAAAGTACGAATATCTGTGTGTGTACATACACAAATATACTCATATAAATATACAAAGATGCATATTTGACATGGACTTATTTGGCTGGTCTATCTGGGACACCACAACAGGGGTGTAGAGGCATCTTTCAATAGACTGATTAGACAGATGATTAGAAGGAATATGCCCACCCTGCTAGGGCTGTGTGACCGAGCTTACCACACTACCAAGGCAATCAGAGATGTGAATAAAAGCAGGCTGACTTACACCTGGGTGAGAAGGCAAACAGGCTACAACCTGCACCTAACCAAAAGGCTACCAAAGCCAAATTTGATGGATGTTTTTTAAGTGCCAATGGCCAGGTATTTTGATTAAAAAAACCTTTCAATTAATTTTAAAACATTTTAGAGAAGAAATATGAAAATGTAACAAATCTGACCAAAAAAACCCAACTCTAAACTTGGTGTCTTCAGCATGTTTTCTTCTTTCACAGCACACTACCTTGCTGCAAATGTGTAAGAAGCTACTAGGTCATGTTAAAGGCACATGAAAGGTCACTGTCCCCTCTGCTCCACCTGCCCCTCGCCCTTCAAATGGCCTGTTTCTTCATCAGTTAAACCAACCTGTATCAGCTATTACATCAAATTACATGGCAGTACTCTTTTTTTTAAACCCAGTATATTCGTTAATACCATGAAGATTATACACAAAGCAAAAAGAAAAATAGCACATGAAGGAACTATCCAGCCAGACACACTGATAAGTAACAAAGACATAACTTTTCAAAAACAACAAAAAGGGAGTCAATGGAACGACTAATCTCCCAAATAAACAGCACAAAATTTACTTTCCAACCTACTTATCTTCCACCTCCCTCTGTACTTTTTTTTGGCAGCTGCTAAGGAAAGTCACAGAATTTATTTATTTATTTTAAGAACACCCCCACACTGCAAAACAAGTTACTAAAAGAATCCTAAATATTCTCTGACAAACTGGCTTTTGCAGGAAATTCACCCAGAGCTTTGAGACCACAGAGCACTAGTCAGAGCAGAAATTCTTCTCTTTCCTAAAGTATTGACTCATGCTCCATATGACAGTAGGAAAAATATTTTAACAAAGCTGGAGAATATTCATTTTGTTTCCCGAAAAACAACACAGGACTATGGTCGCCAGGAGCGGATTTGAGGACAGCGTAGCTTTTAACACCACCCAACTGCCCTCGCCACAAAACGAATGGCGTTACTGTGCGTATTTTGCTCATCAAAGTGCGCAAGAGAGGATCACCTGTAATCTAAGGTCATAAAGCCATCCGAAAGCACGACATCAGTCAATCTCAAAGTTAAATGCAGATCACAGATGCTTGTGAAGGAGTGCTTATACCCCCAGGTCAAACCACAGCCTCTGCATCACGCTGCAGCTCCTGAAATGCACTTCAGACAGCCCAACTGATGCTTAACCTTTCTGCAGACAGCTACTAGAGCCCATCCCATGCTTCTAGCAGCACACACCTCGCTTGGCAGGGCAGCGATCTACTTAAGGATAATCTTAAAGGAGCCATCAGGGTAATCTAGACCTGCTGACTATCAACTGCCAGTTAATCCTCACAAAACAATGGCTGCAAGCAAGGGATACAGAGCAAAGTGTATTTCCAGGGAGGTAAAAAGAAGTCTCACAAACTACGCAGAGATGAGCACAAGACATTGTATCTTAAGGTAGCTCAGATTGCCATGTTTTCCACCAGGCTGGAAAAAGCTCAGCGGTAGCTAAAAACTGACTGCACGGAAACAAAAATAGTATCACTTTTGGTTTTATGAAAGCACACTAAAACTGTTCCTTGCAAATACCAAATGCAAATAAAAACAAACCCAAACTCCTCTGCAAAGAATGACAGCTCTGATAAAAATCAAAGAAGTAACCATGATTAAATGCTTTTTATGCCAAACCTAAACTCATTCTTTCATGACAGATTGTTTCTAACAGTGTTTGATAAGAAAGGTGGGGGTCCATGACTTTTATGGGGACGCACAAGCAGCAGAAAGTGGTACCTCTGGCTACCCAGGGAGGTAGGATGCTTGTCCCTGTGAAGGGCTCAGACAGCAGAACTTCACAAAGCTCACTCTGATGTGCTGTTCTGAGGGTTTCTCAGTCTTTCTTTGTCTCTCCTTCAAGGACAGGTGGTACTGGACCAATAGTTGAATGCTATATGGACATTTTTTCAACTAACTAGGAAAACTAAGTGCCAAGATTCTGAAGATTCATTCAAGGTGCTTTGCTTCAAAAGATTTGATTTCAAAGTATGCATGAATAGTTACAGATATTTTTAAAAATATAAATAATATAACAATAACAACAACAGTAATAACGATACAGGATATTTGAAAGACTTACATGAATGCAGTGTAAAATTCAGGTTTCACAAAATAAGATTTGTCCCCAGAATAATTCTTTACATAATATTAACACATGCCATCATGTGTTCCATATTTTACAGACCAGGACAGTCGAACATCTACCATGCGGTAACTGTATGCACCATGTCAAGGCTGATTTAAGTGAAAATTGGAACTGAACCCCCAAAACATCTGTAATTAAGTTTTAAGCTACTTATAATTACGTTAAGATGACAAACAAGCTTAAACAAAATGGTCTCCAAAATTTCAGTATTTTTGAGGGGGCAAAATTCTCTCTACATGTATGGTCATCAAAAATAGTGTCAACATTTCAAGTTTGCTAAGTAATAAGTAGCAAAATTTGTGATTTTCCTTGACATCAAAGGCCAAAACTCTGAAACAGTTCACCTTCAAAGTCCTCAAATTCATTATTGCTGGCCTGGTGGGCAACTGTTCGGTATCACCTTCCCTTAAATGCTTTGTGCTGAGAGCACTGGCGTGGAAGTGAGAGGAAATGTTTGCTACAAACTTCTGAATATTGGCATTTTAAAACTTTGGAAGCAGTTTTGAGAAAACCTGCTAAAATTCTCAACTATACCTGATACGCTTTTTTTCACTCAAATTATGGAATTAGCTTTTACCATACATAATGACCCCTATAAATTCTCCTCCACTTCCATGGACTCACTGAGGTTGGACAGGATCATGATAATCTCTAGAAACTGTTAGTAGAGGTTGTTTAGATTTGTTTTTTTTAAATAGCCATCCCTTCCATTTCACATGCAAATGGAAAATCAGTTTACACTACTGTCTTCCAAAATATTGTTTGATTTTTTTGATTTAAGCTGAAATCTAAATTTTCTGGGACGTCAAAAGATTATTAAATACACTGCATCTATAAATACTAATTTTACTGCCAAATTTAAAAGGTATCTCCATGTACACACAGAACTAGAAGAGAAGAGTACAGCTACTTGGAGATCATTCAAGTCGTAATGTCTATCAGTTATTTTGTTAAGTATTTTATTTCAGTTTTTACAGAAGTGCTATAGGTGTTTCTCATTTTCCAAAGACTTCCAGTTCTGTTGCATAAAAAAAGCTCCTGGCTGTTATCATTTTGGTTTCATTTTGCTAGTTGACTAATATATACATGGGCAATCTTAAAAAGACATCTTTCAGAGGTATGAAGTATTTTATGTTAAAAAAAAAAAAAACCCTTAGCCAGGTTAAAAAAAAAGACACATATACCTACACTTGACATACACAAGGGCTTATAAACAAGTAAAGATCTCTTCATTCAAGCCTCTTTATAATTAGCTGTAATATAATGTCTTGGTCTGGCTGAGCTAGCAAAACTTTAAGAAAACACCCCACCCCATGACCTACACTTCTAAAGCAGCTACTCAACTATTTAATAATTTAATAATTTATTAGTTTAATAAATTATGAAACCAAGTTTCACAGCATCTCTTTGCAACTTTGTTACAGGGCTAGTCTGGAGAACATTAACCAAAACATATCCACAGCTGAGCTCTTAGTACGATACAAATCAGTAATTATAATCTAAAGTTAGATGAAGATTACTTCTACAGTGAAAATTACCGCTACTGTTTACTTCCAGGTTTCAAGTTTTCTCCCCAGCAATCTCACAGACTAGTAAAGACAGGGTTTAAGAAAGAACTAACAATATACCTAAATACTTCTTTCTAAAATAGGACACGTAAGGTGGCACACAACATCCTTATCTGCCCACATCTCTGCTCTCATACTTTGTTTGGTTACAGAGCACAACTTCCAGCACCCTTTGCAATAGTGCTGGGAAAAATCTTCTCCAAAACCATTCTTGTTAGGAGGCAATCAATGCCTGTTAAAGGACTTCGGGTCTGGTAAAGATCAAATAAGTATTATTTGATAGCAAACCAAACTGTCACCAGTTTGGCATTAAAAAAATGCCTGGGCTATGTTTGCTGGAATAAAGGAGTGAGATCCGGCTCTTCACTGCCTTACGATGCAAGCAACTATCTTCAGCATTAATTGCCTTTTTACAGTAAAAATGAAAAAGTTTAAATATTACATTTCAATTACAGTGTTATTTCTATGCAAATTATGGCAAAGCACCTGCCCCTACAAGCTCAGATAAAAACTACAAAACAGGCTAGACAGCATGGGATCCTGAAATGGAGAAATATGAGCAACGTACAATGAAATTCCAACACAGAAACGATCCAAAAAACGAGTGACACTCATAACAGGAAAAAAAAAGCAAACTAAAAGAAGGATGAACAATGGAGCAGATCTTTAAGGTTTTCAACTGCATTTAAGGAGAAACCTGTAACTACAAAAATTACAAGCTAAGCATGAGTTCAGAGGGGCGCTTGGCAGCGGCAGCATTTCAATCCTCAAAATATCGAGCGCGCTCTCCTTACAGTAAAAAGCGCTAAAGTGCATTTAGGCATTTCCAAATATCACAGGTTAAGGCTCCCACAATAACTAAAGATTTTACGAAGTACCGCAATGAAGAATCATATTTACCAGTTTTAATTATACAGTTTCTTTCCTTACCTTCTCGGCTTCGAGCCATTATTATTAGTTGGCAGATCACATTAATCATTTCTTGAAGTAGTGCAGGACTCTTTTTCAGGATAAACTGCTGATCTGCAAGACATAACTGGCTGCAATTATGCTACACTTCTAATAGGAAAAAAAGGAGACAGTTTATATGAAGTGGACATTTAATGGTGCAGTCTTCACTTCTGTTCATTCTCGTATTATTGAAAATATTGCTTTATTCTCACTCACACACCCATCTGTAACATTCCCTAACAGGAAAGGGGAAGTACTAAGAGGGAACACAAATTTTGTATACCAGACAAGCAGTTTCCACACCAAATAAAAAAATACTTTGTATCCATCTAAAAAAGCAAGAGAATGGCACAAACAATTCGCCATTCTCATTAAAATAGCATGAATTCTCTAGGTAATCACAAAAATAATTTTTTTTAACCTAAGTGAAACACCAGTTTTAGGAAAAACGTTATTTATGAAGTACTAACTACTTCTGAATACAGGTCTGTGAAGTTGTAAGTATAAACTAAGCAGCAAGGAAGATGGGAGATTTTTAATGACTGTTTAAAACTGATCATTTTCCCTTTGAATGAAACTGGAAAAATTGAATCAGAGCATCTTCACTGGTTTGTTGTTTGGTTGGGGTTTTTTTTGATTTGCATCAAAACATAGAACATCTCAAGTTTGCTGGTCAGCCTAAAAAAACATGAGTTTCATGGTTAAATTTCAAGCACTGCATTTAAAAACATCTCAGTTTGTATATCAACAAGTACAAAACATTGCAAAACACAAACCTAAGCTTGTATGTAATTGATATCTAAAGTCTTGTCATCTTTGCTTCACACACTGGGCTAAAAAATGCCAAAAATAACTACGCACAGAAATGTTGGAGAGCAATATTATGTTTATCTTGGATTTCTTTACTCTGAAAAGCAAATATACTTCATATGTTTATTTTTTTATTCTATTAAAAGAGAAAAAAATTATCAGAGTCACGTTTGCAGCCAAAACGCAATAAAAAGTAGGATATCAGTATTACAGGGCTGTCAAGAGAATGAGTAAATGCTAAGTAAATGTTTTAAAGAGTCATTAAAGTTGAAAAACTGCATACACTGCATTGAGATTATTGAGCAGAAATCCATGCAACTCTTTAACAGACAAGAATTATGCATGCTGCAGCCTGCAACGTGTTGCTCTGTTTCTAACAACACCCAAATGGGGGAGAAGCCATTACCTTCTTCAAGGACCTCAGGAACTTTCATCCTGGCAAGATGAGTCAACAGCAGAACTCTGGCTTTCAGGCTGTAAGGGCATGTGAGTGGAGGCTCATTCTTCTTTAAATTTATGCCACCAATTTCTCTGATTAGCTAAAATAAATAGTTTAAGAGAAATATCTGTTTTGGTGCTAAAGAGAAATAAATACAGGAGGAGAACAGTTCACAAGGAAAAAAAAGTTACATTCACAAAAGCAAGCCTTTAAGTAACTTTTTATTCAAAGCCCTGCTCCAAAGAGTGAAAAAAAAGTCGTTTCAATGTGGGAGCAAGGGGAGAAGTTAAGATTTTGCACACGAAAAAAAACTTTGCTTAGAATAGCATTGAGTAAATTTGTACTGATATATAAATATGTTAAACATCTGGTTTTATTGCCAAGGTTTGAGATTCAACCATATTTCTAAGGTATTTATATTAAACCAAATATGAACTAGCAACAGCATCACCTTGAGACCTTTCATCCATGTAAGAGCCAGCCAACTTCCTCAGAAAGTCTCAGGTATCACAGGAATGGGGGTTATAAGACTGAACTCCCTGGTAGGCTGAAAATCAAGTATTTTAACTTATAAACAGCATCAACTTGAAAAAAGCATGGTGTTCTTTATTCAGGATGGCCCATCTTGATCTGACCAGACCAAGATGCACAGTCCAAACAGGTGCCTGAATTTGCTGAAGACCCTGGAGGGAGAGACTGTGAAAGCTGAGTAACAGAAACTCATAGTTTATAAGAATCAAACATGGCCCAGGAGCTTCACTTTTTAGGTCAAAAAGTCACCTGAGGAGGGATTAAGGTGCTCCAGCCACAAAGGGAAGTCTCCTCCACAGGCTGGAGAGGTGGGCCACT